CGAGCCGGGCTCCCCCCCGCGGGACGGGACGGCCGCGCGCCCAGCCGGCCCCCGCACTCACCAGCTCAGGAAGACCCCGGTGCGACGGCCCCTCCGGACCGCGTAGAACATGGCGAACCCGTAACAGCCCCGGCCGCAGCCCACGGCGGACACGGCGACCCTGCGAGCCAGCGGCGGCAGCCAGCGCATCGCTCACCGAGCCTCAGGGGGCCGCATCCCGGCTCAGGGCCCATGCCCGTGCGCCGGAAGCACAGGGCCCACTTCCGGGGTCGGCGCCGAGAGATGACGCGGGGGGCGGGGCCTGCCGCGGGGCGGGGCCTGCCGCGGGGCGGGGCCTGGCAGGACAAGCCCTAGTTCAAGCCCAGCCCTGGCTGCTTACCCTCGAACACCAAAGCTATCCACAGTTACTAAGCGAGCAAATCAACTCCACATATACCTCTCACAAGAAGCACAGGGCTGGGAAGGTGGCTCTCTTGTGCCCAGATAAGGATCCCCAGAGACCACCAAGGAGCCAATGCAAGCGCACGAGAGTCGGTTACTGCAGGCTCAAGCCTGGACTCCCACCGTCCCGGGCAGCGGATCGGAGTTGAAAGCCTCCACCTTCCTCTGGCAGGGTTTTCAGATGGGTTTTAGGGACTTCTCTGCGTCATGGTAACACTTAACAAATCAGATCACACTGCCAGAAAGCCATAATTCTAAAAGATGATTGGCATCACCATTGGCGGGAACCGACCAGGGACTGGGGAGTGGCTGGTTCACGGGATTGATGCTCTTCGAAATGACTGGCTACTGTGGTGTGGGGGAGGGTTGGGGTGGAGGATGGGAAGGGGAAACAAAGGAGGAGGCTACAACGCTTGATAAGAAATGTACTCATTATCTTGCCCATGTAATTGTAACCCCTCTGTACAGTATTTTCATAATTTAAAAAAATGAAAAAAAAATGATTGGCTAAAGCAGATGGTCTGAGCTGCGACCCAGTGGTCTTTAACTTGCAGGAACATCTAGAACTTTGGGTTTTTCCTATTATCTGCTGATAGCTGGAGTTAGGGGAATTTACCTTGGAAGGTTGTTCCTGGAATTTGGGCTTAAGGGGATCAAGGGGTGTTGCTGACACATCCCAGACAAAATGGAATCCAAACCTAAAATTGCTATATTTTGTTCAGGCTTCACACTGGTAGAGTGCTTGCCACACATGCATGAGGCCCTGGGTTCGATTCCTCAGCACCACATAAACAAAAAGCCAGAAGTGGCTCTATGGCTCAAATGGCAGAATGCTAGCCTTGAACAAAAGAAGCTCAGATAGGGACAGTACCCAGGCCCTGAGTTCAGGCCCAGGACCGACAAAAAAAAAAGTAGAGATGGCAACAACGTGAAGAAAGGTTCAACATCCTTAGCCATAAAAGAAATACAAATCAAAATGACACAAATTCCATGTCATCCTCAATCACAATGACAACCAAGAAAACAACAAAAACGGGTGAAGATAGGGGTAGAACGGGATCCTTAGATCATCAGGTTGACGGAGATAAATCAAGGCCAGAAGGACCGATATCACAGTATTGTGCTCACTTTTGGTCCTCAGCTACACCCAGACCTGAGCCTCCCATCTCTGGAGTTCCCGCCTTACAGCCAGCCATTCCCTCTCTCCTCCCAGATCCACCTGGGTTCCCATCTACCGCACTTCCAACCCACTGATGCTCCTGCTACCTGGATAGGGACAGGTGCCATGTGCTCCCTCTTGGGGGACATATGGCTCCTCTAATAAACCTTGTAATCATCTTTCTCCTGTGCCTGCCTGCCTCCACGTGGTCCCCTGGGATGGGTGTGTGGGACCCCTCAATCTCATGTTTGATTATATGTGTGCGTACATTTATACACATATATACACATGAATTATTGAAAATAGCATAGTGAACCTCACCAATAGCAGGTGCAGGTTTGTGAAGTTTCCCTTTAAAAATGGGACTCAAGCTGGGCCCCAGTGGCTCACACCTGTCATCCTAGCTACTCAGGAGGCTGAGTTCTGAGGATCATCGTTCAAAGCCAGCCCAGGCAGGAAAGTCCTTGAGATTCTTATCTCCAATTAACCACCAGAAAACCGGAAGTGGTGCTGTGTCTCAAGTGGTAGAATCCTAGCCTTGAGCTAAAGAGTTGAGGGGCAGTGCTCAGGCCTAGAGTTCAAGCCCCAGGACCGATAAAAAAAAAAAAAATAGGGACTCAGCCAGGTACTGGTGGCTCATGCCTGTCATCCTAGCTGAGACAGAATTGTGGTTCAAAGCCAGCCCAGGCAGGAAAGTCCATGAGACTCTCTCTCTCCAGCTAACCCCCAGAAAACCAGAAGTGGTGCTGTGATTCAAAGTGGTAGAGCACTAGCCTTGAGCGATAAAGTTCAAGGACAGCACCCAGACCAAAAGTTCAAACATAACAACTGACAATTGTTAGCATTATCCCCACTTCTGGCCCTTAGCACCATCCAGCCCTGAACTCCTCCCAGGCCTAGAGTTCCTGCCCTATAGCTGGCCCCTCCCCCCCAACCCAGACCCACCTGAGCACCCACCTACCTCACTTCCTGCCCCCCAGACCCTCCTGCTAGGGATGGATGCCCTATGCTCCCTCTCCTAGGAAATATGGCCCCTCTGATAACCCTTACAATGATCTTTCTCCTGTGCCTGCCGCCGCCGAGTGGGCCCTGGGAAGGACATGAAGGATCCTTTCAACAATAAAAACATAAATAAATAAATAAATAAATGTAGGAACTTCACTTAGGGTCTTTGACTTTGATCACAGAATAAGAATTTCTGGACAAGTCACAATGGTAAAGAGAATTTAGTGGAGCTTTATTGAGTAAGTAAGCAAGCAAGCAGACCGACAAAAAGCAGACAGACAAGCAGAAAGGAAAGGGCACTTTAACAGAGTGTGGATGCTCTGGAGGGAGACAGACAGGCAGCTCCTTGGCTGGTAGAGGGATTTATATGGTAAAGGTTGGGGTGGGGGTGTCTTATGCAAAGACAGGTGTTTTATCTTTGCTCTAATCACTCCTGGTGTTACACTTTCTGAGTTTCTGGATGTTTGGGGAATTCTTTCCAGGTAAGAATGCATCCTAAAAAAAAGAATGCATCCTAAAAAAAAGAATGCATCCTGCCACAAAATGGATCATTCTCCTTGATAGAAGGTAGTCATACTGTTACCAGCAGGTTGGGTCGGAGGCTTCTTAAGTTTGGGGGAGCATTTCTCTCAGGAAGATGTACACCCTTCCAGACAAACATTCATTCTTGGGTGAAAAGGAGTGCATCGTGTCCTCTGTCTTTGCAGCAGACAGTGCCTGTGTTCTAACGCCATGGTTCTGAGGTCCCTTTACTTTACCAAGCCTCATTTCCCAATTTATCCTGCCTCATTTTCCCCTAGGTGACTTCAGTCCCTTCATCTTCAGGGACGTAGATGAGTATCTCCTGCATTTCCCCCTAGCCTATCCTGCTTCAAAACAAAAACTGTTTAAAGGTGTGAGCTAGGGGCTGGGAAGGTGGCTCAGTGGCAGAGTGCTGGCATTGCGTGCATGAGGCCCTGGGTTTGATTCCTCAATACCACCTAAGAAGAAAAAGCTGGAAGTGGCGCTGTGGCTCAAGTGGTAGAATAAAATAAAATGAAGGGGAGTGCTAAAAAAGTATTCTAGATGGGGAGAACATGATGAAAATGCATTATATATATATATATGTGTGTATGTTAATTGTTCAAATAAATCCCTTTTTCAACTGAAGAAGGGGGTTAAAATAACCCACTGCACTCAGATGTCCTTCAGTGCCGATGCCGGGAATGACCTGGTGCTGAAGCTCGGTGCAGTCTACCTTGAGCAGGACAGCCAGCGTGAGGTGGCAGGAAATTTAGAAAAGTATATCAGACACCAAGCCAAGACAGGAGCTGAGACAGAACCAATAAGTCCAAAAAGCACTAGAATGAGCAGCCAACTGTTCACAAATGTAGAGACCTGCTCTTTCCATAATGCTTTCTCTTTCCACTCCCTTTTGTTTTTGTTCTGCCAAGCTTGGGGCTTGAACTCAGGGCCTGAGCACTGTCCCTGAGCTGCTTTTTGCTCCAGCACTCTACCACTCAAGCCACATTCCCAGCCCCTCCCTTCTCTTTTCAGTGTTACCTGAAATCTACTACCTCAGAGGAGTAGCTGGAAAGAGGAGTAGCTGGAAAGAGAAGAGAAAATGCCTGGCTTTGTAACTCTGGGAATAATATTTAAACAGACCCTAAAAGAACGGACACTCATATTATAAAACCCTCTGATGGGTTTTATCAAAACAGGATAATTGGAAAGTTCCTAGACAACCATACATCAAGATGATTTGTGGCCTCCAGTAAGCCCCTCCCCATCCCAGTTAAAGGACACAAAACCCTGAGAAGCTGACCACCTATGCCACCACCCGCTGATGTCTTGTCAGAAGGTGCTGCTAGCTCAGTCCCCTTCTTCTCAAACCCTCATTTATCTTTGTACACATAATAAATCTCTCCTGGCTCCTTCCTGTGCTTCCTTTGTGGATTACTTGGAAATTAATTTTGTCTTTATCCTAAGTTCCCAGAGAGTCCTGGTGAGCTTGGAAAATTGAGTGGCGCGTTCTCCTCTTCTATAGGGATCCCACCTTTTCTGAATACTCTCCCAGTGGCTCTCTCTAAAATGTTCCCTTGCAGCCCTGCAGGACTGATGGAGTACTGTGCCCATGGTGTTTTAACTGCAGTCCTCTGGAGGCTGTGTGCTTGTGTTGGGAGACTGCTTAGCGATGTGCCCCACGGGGAGTGTGCACGGATGTGATCCTGATGCGGTACACCTGGTGCTCTTCTCAGTGAGCACTTGTCAAGTGGCTCTGTGTGTGTGTGTATGTGTTTTCCTGAGGATCAAACCCACAGCCTTGTAAAAGGTAGTTAAGGCCGGGCACCAGTGGCTCACCCCTGTAATCCTTGCTACTCTGGAGGCCTAGATTTGAGTATAGAGGTTCAAAGCCAGCTGAGGCAGAAAAGTCCCCATGAGGTAGAGGAGCTGTGCCTCAAAGTAATAGAGCACTAGCATTGAGCAACAGAGCTCAAGGACAGCACCCAGGCCCTGAGTTCAAGCCCAACAACCAAGAAAAATAAACAGATAAAACTTTGGTTTTAGCTTCAAGCATGGCTAGGCAGTAACTCTACTCCCAAAGCTACCTCCCAGTCCTGCATGTGTTACTTTTCTTTTTCTTTCTTTTTTTGGTCGGTTGTGAGGCCTGAACTCTGGGCCTGGGTGTGCTGTTCCTCAGCTCTTCGGCTCAAGGCTAGCGCTCTACCACTTGAGCCACGGCGCCACTTCCAGGTTTTTCTGCTTATGTGGTGCTGAGGAATTGAACCCAGGGCCTCATGCATGCAAGGCAAGCACTCTACCACTGAGCCATCTTCCCAGCCCCCTGCATGTGTTACTTTTTAATAAAATATATTGAAGAGTAACTCTGCACATTGAATAGCAATGCCTGCGTGATCATCTTCCATTCGCTGGTAGGTCTGATGCTGAAGATTTAGAGCTGTGTACAGGAAGTGACACCTGAGCCCTACAGGATGGCCTCTGACTCTGCCCCCAGTAAATAGGGCTTCATCTTTACCCCAAGCTGATACTAGGTAGTAAGGTGATCACAGTAACACTAGGCCTGAGAGAAAGGATCCTCCAGAAGGTCAGTATGTTAATACTTGATAAAGCTGATAGGACTGTCGATCACCTCTGGTGCAAAGACTCATCACTGACTCTCCCATCACTTGATGATGACAGTTTAGGATCTGGAGGAAAAGGGTGACTTTGAAACTGGTCTGACCTCTGGCTCTAGGCATCTCAGGTGCTGAGGGGATGCGGCCAGCACAAAGCTTTCTTAATGGTACTGTAACACACCACAGGTGTCGTTTAACAGGTCCAGGCCTTGGAATACAACTGTCCACTCTCCACCTAGCAGTGTTGTCTTGGACCAGGTGCCACAGGCCTCTGGGTCCCTCCAAGATGGCCCTGTACACACTGTAATGAAGTGCCTTTGCACAGAAAGTAACCTTCGTTCGCGGCTACTGTGGTTCCGTGCTTCATCTGGCTTCCTCCTTGCTCTAGACCAGCATCACTAGTGGGCTCATCAGAAACAGAAGGGATCAGACCTCTGGCTATAGACTGGACACTACTCTCAAAAAGCATGGGCTAAATTGTAACACATGCTGTTAGAAGGTGGAGCCTCCGGTGGGTGACTGGGAAGTGAGCTAGGACCCTGGATTACTGCCCTTAGGGAGGAGGTGCCAGAAAGCCAAGGGAAGAAACAGCCCAAAGGCCTGGAACCAGACAGCAGGGTGGATCTGCACCAGACCATCAGAGGCCACACTGACCTTGACCCTCTGGGCTGCGCAACTATGAGAAATGAATTTTTATTGTTTGCAAGCTACCCAATTTATTTGTACTCACTTAGCAGAGTAGCTCCTTTGACAAGAGACAGACCCCAGCCCAGAAACTGAGTAGGATCTGCAATTTACCATTGCACCCAGTGTCAGGCTGCTGGAGGAAGTGGGCAACTGGGAAAGATGTCAGGCCACCAGGGAAGAACAGGCTGCTGCCAAGAAAGACCATGTCTCTATCAACACCACCAACGGAGTCAACCATTCCTTGAGTGCACTGGCCTAAAACCGTTCAAAAGGGCAAGACAAGCTAGGTGCTACCACCCTGCTCACTACAAGTTCTGCTTTTACCCCGCCTATAAAAGCTCTAGCAAACTCAGTGCAACCTCTCTGATCCTGACCAGGGAGTTCACCCAGGAGTGTTCCCCAATAAACTTTCCTGTCAATCTTTTTATTCCTCTTGCATGGTCCTTTGCTCGCCTAAAACCTTACACCCATGTGATAGATTTGTATGCCAAGCGGAAGAGTCTTAAATTTAGATACCGTTTAGGAAACAAGTTAACCCTCTTAAAACTGTAAGATTAAACTGAGGATCCTAAAGGCTGGATGACCGGACCTAGGGATAACAATATGCGTTCTAGAAACTAATGATGTTTATCAGGCTTTCAAGAACTATCAGCTGTGGGGCTGGGAAGGTGGCTCAACGGTAGAGCGCTTGCCTTGCATGCATGAGGCCCTGGGTTCGATTCCTCAGCGGCACATAAGCAGAAAAAGCTGGAAGTGGCGCTGTGGCTCACGAGGTAGAGCGCTAGCCTTGAACTGTGGGACAGCGCTCAGGCCCAGAGTTCAAGACCCACGACCGACAAAAAAAAACAGAACTATCCCCTGCTCTAACAATGATGGAAAGGAACCGCAGGGAACGGAACAAGAGGTTTGTGCATGGTTTTAGCACAGAAATGGAGGGACAGCGGTGGTACTCCC